TCTCCTGCCCTAGACGGCCACTTTCCTGTGCCTAGTGCGGAGATCGTGGACGAGGTCCACGATGTCCTCACTAGCCCAGGAAGGTGCCCTCCTCTTGCGGTCCAGGGCAGTAATTCAAATTACTCTACTGACAAACTATTTTTTTCCCAAAATGAGAAATTACAAGAAAGCCGACTTCTCAAAATGGATAAAGAATAGTTTCTTTGGAGACTATCTTTCATTGTCTGGCTATAGAATGAAGAACTGTAAAAAACAAATCAGTGGAAATTAAATGTTCTGAGACTAAAATTGAGAAGTGTGAATTGTGGAGAATTCCAATCTTGTTATAAAAATGATTGGCAGGGTCTGCTAGCTGGGTGCTGGCAGGCTTGCACCTGGCACGGGCACCGTAGGCAGCCCGTGGCCCTTTAAGGGGTCCGGGGCCGGGAGGGGGGCATAGAGTTTCCCTGGTGTTGGCCAGAGTGGCCACCAGGGAAACCTGGGGAGGGCTAGCCTCCCACTAGTTCGAATTAAGGGGCTACACACCCCTTAATTCGAACTAGCTAGTTCGAACTAGGCTTAATCCTCGTAAAATGAGGATTACCTAGTTCGAACTAAGCGCTCTGCTAGTTCGAATTAAGTTCGAACTAGCGGAGCACTAGTATAGCGCCTATGAAAGTTAGTTCGAACTAACGTCTGTTAGTTCGAACTAACTTTGTAGTGTAGACATACCCTTATGTCGCACAGTGGTGTGAAAAAACACTCCCTCCTCCGGAGCAGCATAAGTTACAGCAACATAAGCACTGGTGTTGCCAGTGCTACATCAGTGGGGGAGTTTCTTCCGTCAACATATCTACTGCCACTACTTGGGAGTGGTTTCATTATGTCCGTGGGAGAACTCTTTCCTGGTGGCATAGAGTGGCTATTTGAGCATCCTACAGCAATGCAGCTGCCTTGGTACGGATGTGAGCTATAAACTCTCTACTGTAGACATAGCCTAGGAGAAAGACCTATTTACCATAGATGACTAAACTTCGAAATTTTGGTTTAGTGAGACAAAGATTTCCTGAACACTGATCCAAGTAGTCTGATATCCTACTTCTGATAGGGCCTGCAACCTGATACTTCAGACTCCGGCAGGGATAGTCAATTATTTTTTGTTAGGTCTAAATTTCTTGGTTAAGTTTTAGTCAAGGTCCAGACTCTAGATATAATAATAATAATAATAATTAATAATAATAATAATACATAGATTTTTGGGATCCATTCAAAAGCATCTGGAGATCATACTTTGGCCCGTAGTCTGCCTATTGACAATCCCTGCTTCCAATGAAGCAATAAAATTCACTCATGCTTGTATTGGTCAACGAGGACTTCCTTCCTGATCCTTTACAATTGGTCAGTTTAAGCACTGAAACATTAGGTTTGATTACACTTAAATCATTGTGATAGCTCAAGTAAAAAGGTTCTTAATAATCAAATTACCCAATACATTTTTAAAATGAGGCTCCACTATTTACTTTAATATCCTGGCATAGTGAATTCTACATGTGGCATAGAGAATTATTTATTTTTATTGATTCAAAGTGTACTGCACTTTAATTTTACTGGGCCTAACATATGCATCTCCCACTAAAGATTTTCTTGCTATGCCTATTCCAATAGACTGAAAAACTTTGGTGAGTACTTGTGACTTCCTTATTTGGTTTGGGATTACTACTTTTTATTACACTGGTTACTTTGTGGAATTAGGCTGTTTGTTATGAGTAGATGCTGATGTATAGTAGAGTCTTGCCAGTTACCACTCTTTAAAGTTGTCCTCATATTTCAACACATTTAATATCATGGTGATGTCATGAGAACTTACATAATTAAGACTTAAATGTATAACTGTATATATGGCATAGCTACACAGACTTCAATGAAATTGTTAATTTTTATCAGTGGAGGATCTGGCTCCATTTTTGTCATAAAGGGGGACAAAATCACTTTCTTATATACTTGTTTATATAAAACAAATGTAAACATCACAATATCTTGAAAAGTACATAAGAGCTTAGTCTTTCTCCCAGGTTTGAGCAGGTTCAAGCATATTTTATTGATTTGATTATCTTGCTGACTTCAGTGCTCTAACCTTTCAGGTGAGACCCTAAACCTAGTCCTGCTTTAAGATGATGCAAAAACTCCCATTAACCTCAGTGGTAGTAGAAGTTGTCCCTAACTCACTGAGGAGATAGTCCTGCAGACACTTAACCGTGTGAATAATTTTAGTCACGAGTAATTCCTGTGAATTTAATGGGACTATTTTTGTGGCTAAAAGAACTTAGCAAACGAGTGGTCCTGTAGCACCTCAGGGTATGTCTACATTACAAAGGTAATTCGAACTAACACATGTTAGTTCGAATTAACTTTGATAGGCGCTACACATACAAACCGCTAGTTCGCACTTAATTCGAACTAGGTAAACCTCATTCTACGAGGACTAACAACTAGTTCGAATTAAGCAGTACGAATTAAGGGCTGTGTGGCCACTTAATTCAAACTAGTGGGAGGCTAGCCCTCCCCAGCTTTCCCTGGTGGCCACTCTGGGCACCACCAGGTGCA